TTTTATGTTGTAAGTTAGATTATTTTAAGTATAAATCTAAGTTTTTGAGTAAAAAAAAGAAAAGAATTTTCGATATAAACAAATAGATTAACGAAGAAATTTATTAAATATGTTGAAAATTTCGTACTTTAATTCTCTATAAGTGTCTACAAATGATAGATTTACTTTTGTTTGTTTAATTCGCATCATATGCACGTGAGGGGAGTTAAATACTTAAATTAAAAAGGATTGCTTTTGATTTCGAATGTGCAAAATCCAAAATTATAGATTAAAGAAAAAAAAGGTTATTGCCAAATTACTTAATTTTTTAAGTGATAATTTATAGAAGTTTTTACTTTCGAACTGTAGTGTGGGTAGGATGGGTTTAGGTATCGACGGGCGAATCTTAGTCCTGCGTAAAAGAGGTAACAAAATTAGATCAGCTCCCTCTAAAAGCATTTTGACGTTTCTTGAATTTGGATGCAGTGAGAGCACTGAACTCAATCTTCCAACAATGGAACAAACATGCACCGGGTTCCTGGAATATCAGCGGCGAACCATGCACCGGAACTGCCCGGAGCCAAGGCAATTCCGTTTTCAAAATCGATAATAGCGACAATCCGGGCATCGCATGCGATTGCTCTTTCAACAGTAATACTATCTGTCACATCACCGGACTGTACTCTCTCCATCTGTTGCTGCTCCAGCGAACGCATTCCCTTCTGTTTCGAACTTTTGATCTGTTGCGGAGTTGCACTCTAACTGTCTGTTCATTTTCCCAGGAGAATGGTTGACCTGGACATACGAGGAGTGCTGGCGGAGGAGCTTTTGGCTTTCAAATTCTTAATCTATCTGTATGGTTTCTTATTGTCTTTTGCTCGTAGAAGATGGCTTTTTATCATTTTCCTGGAGAGTTTTTGAGAGCACTGAATTGTTCATTGTTTGATGATTCAGGAAGATCGATGGAAATTACTTCAACGGTACCTTGCCGGGATGGATTGGGAATTTATCTAAATTGCAGTTCTTGTAAGCATGGATTCTGGGGGTCTTATGAAAGAATTTAACTTTACTTTAGTAGATAGCATTTATCAAAAACTTTTAAAATTTTAATATATAGTTTTTATGATTTTTGCTTTATACTAAAAAAAGAGGCATTCAACCTTGATTATGAAGCTAAGTCATTGAAGTGTTAAAGATCTTCAACTCCATGAAGCGAAGCACATTGTGTTTACTTATTTTATATACCAGCATTAAAAACCATCATTTACACTGATTCCTATCAATACATCTCACTTATTTTCTGATTATGGTCATCATGCTTATTCCGTAGGTAAAACTCATTAACTCTGGTTTGTTATTTTTGCTAATTCTTATTTGAGAAGCCACTAGTAATTTTTTGGATTATGTTTTTTGTGTCAAGGTCTGTTGCTATCAATGCATTCTCTGGGCCCATTCCTAAGGAGCTTGGAAATCTTAAGGAGCTAACTGTGCTGTAAGACTTGAAGAAATTCTACTCTCATCATAATGCATCAATTCTTTTTTTAATTCTTTTTTATCTGCCATTGTAATGCATCAAATGGTTCTACTCTACCACACACATGTAGCCTCTAAGTTATATTATGCACAAGTTTGGTCCTTGGTCATTATGAAAATGCCTTTCTTACAAAATGAAAAATCAATTCAATATTATGTTGAGAGGATCTGAAAGTGTGGAGAGAATTTGTTTATGAGGGGTGATGGTGGAACAGGAAGGGGAGACTGCCACAACAGTAATATGTAAAACTAATTGTTAATATGGCAGTGCTTACTAGTTGATGTAACAAACCTTTCACAATAATAATTATACTTCTGAATTTTGATATACATTGAATTGATGAATTTCAAAAGGCAAGATAAATAACTTCAGGTATTCAAAATTTGTATCAGTTTCAACTACCTTTAATAGAAATGCAAGGGATTGTAGATAATTTGAGTGATTTGGGTCATTTTATGATTTTAATATAATCTTCCTATAAGTGGTTTCCAAGAGGTCCTGAGTTTCTCACATTGCTTTATGTCTGTTGTGAAGTAGTGATGCAATATGGTAATCAAGTCACTAGAAGATTCATGGCATTGATTGAGAGAGAATCTGTGAGGCTCTTCTGAAAAGCTTGGGACATTTTACATCGATTAATTTCACATGAAACCCTCACAACATTCCTCCTTTTGAGACTTGAGAGACCAGCAAAATCTCTTGAAAGATTTTTAATCTTTTCACTTAATTTTAATATTGAGAAGTGCAATCCCACTGATAGGTTCAATTCAAATAAAACCCCATGTCAATTTTAATGGTTTCTCTTTCTCCATAAAAATATTTTATTTGAATTCTTTCATGCAGATCCATTCACACAAATAATTTCTTTGGAACACTCCCACCAGAACTTGGTAATTTAGTAAAACTAGATCGACTGTGAGTTATAACTTTCTTCTAGTTCTTTGTAGCTCAATGAGTTTGTGCAGGAAGAAGCATATCACCGGAGGCTAAACAGTTTTGGTTTATGAATGTTTAGTTACATTGAGAGCTGTGGAGTTGGTGGTGAAATTCCCTCAACATTTGCTAACCTTCTAAACATGCGAATCATGTAAGAAAGTCCCGGGGATCTTAAGCTGTATTTATTTGTTTGCCTATGTTTCTAGAGCATCTCAAAATCATTTTCTCTTAACCTGTCATTAATAGAGAGCTTTTTGGATTTTAGGTTGGCATCAAACTGCCCTTTCACAGGCAAGATACCTGATTTCATTGGCAAGTGGACAAAACTTACACAATTGTACGTTACAAATACTTCTTACTCAGTTTTTAAAGAGATTCCTTTTAAATTTGTTTTGCCTCCTTTCTTCAACAGTGAGATATATCTAGTTTTTTCTTTCTTGATTAGCCTGTGAAATATTTCTGTAGGGAATTTGAAGGGAGTTACATGGAAGGTCCTATACCATCCAGTTTTTCTAAATTAACCTCTCTAAATTCTCTGTAAGTAATTATTCACTTAACATTTACTTTGTCTCTGCATGCATGATTCTGAAAGTATGTATAATGGCTAACTTTTCAATTCTTATCTATAATCATGCAGGCAAATCTTTGGTTTATCCAATGTGAGCTCTTCTCTCGATTTCGTTATAAATCTAACGATTTTAGATACCTTGTAAGTAAAAACTCTTTAATCATGTACAGAAACCTGTATCTTTGTTTGTCTTTGTTGGGTTTGTTTTATTAGTTAATTGACTAACAAACTTTACTCTTTTCTTTTGTTCTTTATTTCCTTGTAGAGTTTTAAGAAATGCATTAATTACTGGTAGTATTCCATCTGATATTGGAGAACTCAAATATTTACAAAACCTGTAAGATATGTTCTCACTTTTTCTAATGAATTTGTTGTTTGTGAAATTTGGTTCCATTTCCTATATTAATTTAATTCCTCTCTCTTACCAGGGATTTGAGTTTCAATAACTTGACAGGCCAAATTCCAAGTGCTTTGTTTGACATAAGTTCTCTTACATACTTGTAAAGTCATAGAAGATGCTTCAAAATCTTGATTTATGTCAATTTCATCTTTAGTTTTTCTGGTCAACCTAATGCCATTAACCTAATGGTATTTACCATAAAAAGAAAAAAAATTGACTATATTATATAATGTCAATGTCCAGGTCTCTTGGAAATAATAGTCTGTCTGGAACCATCCCTAGCCAAAAGAGTGAAAACCTAAAAAAGATGTAAGCCGTGACATTCTGAGCATTCTCTTTATTTGAATGGATAACTTCTGCTGACTTTCTGCTATTGTACTTTGACTACATTCTCATGCAGAGATTTATCTTACAATTTTCTGTCTGGAAGCTTTCCCTCATGGGTATACACAATCTTGCAGTCTCAGCTGTATGTAGCTTGAGCTTATTTTTCTTTTAATTGATGTCACATTATTAATGCAATACGAATTAAAGAAAAAAGTTCAAGATCTACCCCAACCATCTCCATTAAATCCTAGTAAGAGCCAGTGACCTAGTGTTATTCCCATTTTGGTACCTGGCTTGTGCTGATGACCTAAATTACAATGCTCAACTAAAAGTCCTCTGGAAGTCTTTTTGGTTTTCAAGAACCATGATAGTGACGTAGTACACACCTATGTATACCATTTCTAGAAAGGGTATCTGTCACTTTAAATTCATGAATGTTGGATTGTTACAACTGCTATGACAAATGTTGCTTTTTATCATGTAGGAATCTAGTAGGCAACAACTTCACATTTGACAAGTCAAACATAAGGTGAGTTATAGTTCTTTAATATCTGTTTGAGCTTTACTTGTTGAGTTTTACTTTTCTATCCACCTTAATCTAAAGGCATAAGAAAATTGGTTGCAATTTTTTCCACAATGAAGGTATTCTTTTATAATTTATAGCACTAATAAGAAATAGCTATTTTATTTATTTTCAGTCATTTTCGAGGATTGAATTGTCTTCAAAGAAGCTTCCCATGCAACAGGAACTCTCCACGCTGTAAGCTTCTTTTGTTGCATTGCCTTGAGATAGCTTGTACCTGGCATTATGCTGTAATCACAGAGAGAAATTTTATGTAGTGGGGAAAAGGCATAGACAGTTGTATTTTAGAGTGTTCTTAGAATCTCAATGACAAGTTATCCCTTCCTACTTTCCTAGTATCAATAATTCTAAGCTTGGCCAATTGAAATATGCATGCATCAACGGCAATTGTAAAAGGACATTAAGTTCCTCATGCTAGAACTTGAAAGGAGTCAAAATTTACTTGCTGTTTTTAATCTGTTATAAAATGATGGCTTCAGTAACATACTGGGTATTAATTTCTGTTGCTGGAATTTTATTTATTTTTCTTGAGTAACTTGCCAAGCATATTTAAATATTGATGTTGGCAGATGCAAACTTTGCAATCAATTGTGGTGGCCCGGATGTGTTTGCTGATGGGATAAAATACGAGGCTGAAACCTCTTCTCTTGGCATAGCATCATTTTATGTCCATACTGAGAAATGGGCAGTTAGCAATGTGGGTCTTTATGACAGAAATGGTCAGGCCTATAAGCTAAACAGCTTGGAACGAGTGAGAAACACAAACTCGATGGAGCTTTATCAGACTTCGAGGATATCCACTGGATCCCTCAGATACTATGGCTTAGGCCTAGAGAATGGGCCTTATACGGTTAACTTGCATTTTGCGGAAACAGCTTTCAATGATCCAAGCAGTCATACTCTGGGGACTCTGGGAAGGCGAGTTTTTGATATTTATATTCAGGTAAAATTTCCATAAGAATTGTAAACCATTGTCCAGATTGTATTTATTCATCATTTTATTCAAGTCCTCAATGTAACAAATGTTTCTAAAATTACAAATTCGCAAACTTAAGTTTTACATTTTCAGATTTTAATCATAATCAACTATTCCAGGGAACCATCGTATTGAAGGATTTTGACATATCAAAAGAGGCAGGTGGGGTTGACAGAGCAATCACTAAGAATTTCAATGCTACTGTGACAGAGAACCATCTTGAAATTCACCTATTCTGGGCTGGTAATGGAACACACTACATGCTAACATCATCACTTGAGGGTAACTATGGACCATCCATTTCAGCAATCAATGTGGTATCAAGTAAGAAATGAGATGACATAAGAATCTTTGTTTAAAATCTTAAGTCATGCCTATCTCTGTTTGCCACTGCTAAACCTAAAACCTATTGATCAGATTTCACACCAAAGAAGAATAGGACTGGGTTGATTATTGGTGTTGCAGTTCCTGTCGGAGTTGTCACCTTCACCTTGATATTGATATTTGTAATCTTCTACTTGAGAAGGAGAAATGATGATGACGAGAAAGGTAAGAGTCCTAAAAAGTGCAATAGTTGTAGTTAACTAGTCATGATATTATTACCAACAATAAAATTATCAAATTGGTATTCACTAATTTAAAAATCTTGAATTAGAGTTAAGGTCAGAAATTAAAACCTTTATGATACTAAGTAACTATCTCTCTAATGTACCAAAGAAAAGAAAAGACAAGAAAAGAAAAGAACAGTCATGATATTATTTGTAAAACTGATTCATATTGATATACTATGGTTGATCTGGCCTCAGTGTTGTTGAGTGAAGTTCTAGATTCCCCAGACCAAGTTCTAGGTTAAGCTCTTACTGATATTTAGACATAATTATTTTCTTCTTTATTACAAGGGTGGACAAATGGGTTTTTAAAGGAAGACATATTCTAGTAGTTAAGAGAATTGATCTCCCTTGATGGAGAGAGAAACTGATTTTTTTTTTTTTCAACTTCTTTGACAATGTTGCTGTCTATCTTGTGGCAATGCCTTCACATGGACCAGTATTCCTAGTGCTCAGAAGAACATATTTTATAATTATATATAGGAAGTAAATTTTATTTGAAGGTTAAATGTCAATTTTTGTCCCTCAACATTTTTATGCACTTTTTTGTTTTTTAACTATGAAAAATATATTTTTTAGTTCTTTTGTTAGTTAGTCCATTAAATTTGTTTAAATATGTACATTTTTAGTCCCTGAACTTTTTAGTTGAAAGATGAAAAATGTGCATATATTATAAGTTAAGGGACTAAAAATGTGTATATTTAAACAAATTTAACAAATTAATTGATGGATGGATTAAAAAAGTGCATAAAAAATTGAGGGATGAAAACTATGCAAAACCTTAAAGTTGAGAAACCAAAATTGACATTTAACTTACTTTGAAGGATTAATTAACAGAAGGACTAAAAAAGTGTATTTTTTATAATTGAGGAACAAAAAAAGTATATAGATGAAAATTATGCAAAACTATAAAGTTGAAAAATTAAAATTGGTATTTAACCTATTCTTATTTACTCATCAATTTTCTGATTAATATATGAAATGGACAATAAAAAAATTTAGAAATTATACAATTGCCCATGGCCTTTAAACTTGAGATGCTGAATCCTAGGACCAGTGTTTGTAAAATGTCAACATTATATAATTATCTCCTATTTCATCAGTAGATTTTATTCCAACTTCTTCTCTAGAATTTGTAGGGCTTCTTGGAATAGGGCCCAGATCAAACACCTTCAGTTATGCCAAGTTGAGAGCTCCAACTTCTCTCGAATTTGCAGGGCTTCTTGGAATAGGGCCTAGTCCAAACACCTTTAGTTATGCCGAGTTGAGAGCTGCAACAGATGACTTCAGTCCCTCAAATAAGTTAGGAGAAGGGGGATTTGGTCCAGTATACAAGGTAAACTATTGGCTTAAAATCTTAAATCTTTTTTTAATGAGATCGAATATTTATATGGAAATGTTACTAAATAAAGCATTTTAAATACATTATAGGGTAAACTTTCTGATGGGCGCGTAGTAGCTGTGAAGCGGCTTTTAGTAGCATCTCACCAAGGGAAGAGTCAATTTGTTACTGAGGTTGCTACCATATCAGTGGTGCAACATCGCAACCTTGTTCAACTATACGGATGCTGCATCGAAGGAGACAGACGCCTCCTTGTTTATGAGTATCTTGAGAACAAAAGCCTTGACCAAGCACTCTTTGGTATGACTGAACAAGTTATTTAGTCCCTTTTAGCCTTTATGCAGGAAAATGAAACATTTCTGCATCTAAATTAATTTCTTTACCAAATTAATCACTCTCCATAACATTTCCTGCCTCACATATGCAGGAAAAAGAGACTTACATCTTGACTGGCCAACTAGGTTCAGTATCTGCCTGGCAACTGCAAGAGGACTAACTTATCTTCATGAGGAATCAAGGCTAAGGATCATACACAGAGACATGAAGGCAAGTAACATTTTGCTTGATGCGGAGCTGTGTCCGAAAATATCTGACTTTGGATTGGCAAAGCTATATGATGACAAGAAAACTCACATCAGCACCCGAGTTGCAGGAACTATGTAAGCTCCTTGAATGAGTTAAATCACTATATCAAAAGAGTATCTAAATGCTTATTTGCATTATATTGTAGCTCATATATGTTATTAGGTTGCATAACATCAAACCATCAACAGAATCCAGAGACTTAGTATCATAGATAGAGAAATCATCTCAATAAACCTTGCACATGCAAATTTAATAGCTTAATTGCAATATTGGCAGTGGCTATTTGGCACCAGAGTATGCAATGCGTGGCCACCTCACTGAGAAGGCAGATGTTTTTAGCTTTGGTGTTGTTGCTTTGGAAATTGTCAGTGGAAGACCAAACTCTGACAACAGCCAGGACAATGACAAGATCTATCTTCTTGAACAGGTAAAGAAAGAAACTCTGTTCTTTTTTCCTTCTTTATAGACGCATTCCTTGGGCATGAGATTTACTGATACAATGTTTCTAGGCATGGACTCTGTATGAAAGCAACCAATGTCTTGGTCTGGTGGATCCAACCCTAGTGGAGTTTGATGAAAATGAAGCTTTAAGAATGATAAGAGTGGGACTCCTGTGCACGCAAGCATCACCAATGATGCGACCACCCATGTCAAGGGTTATAGCTATGCTTGCTGGGGATATCGAAGTGAGCCCTGTTGCATCAAAACCAAGTTATTTAACTGACTGGGATTTTGAGGACATAACAGCTAGCATTGAGGCTGAAAACACACCATCAACTAGATCTGAGCACAGTGATAAAAAGAACAAGAACGATCTTAATCAAGGGATAGAGCTGATGCCTTCTCCATTAAACATTACTGAATTCAGTGACATTATTGCGAAAGGAAGGTGAGAGATGTTTTTCCTTAAAAGCTCCATTTTGCCACTTCTCTTGCTTGACCTCTGCCACATATTTTCTAGCTCAATAAAATAGATATTGAAATTGTGTGAATTTCTGTCATTCAAATCTTATATGTTGATCATTTCTCTCTGTAAATTAAACGAGATATCAAAATATTGGCATGCAATAAGGCTGCAGTGTTTGTAATTCATGGATGTCATTCCTATCATGTGGTAATATACTTCAAAGCTCTAGGATGGTTTGTAGTTCCATGTAACATAATTATGTCTTTTTTCTAGGGTTTTCTTTTTCCTCTTTGTTTTAACACACCACCTCTAGCACACGCCACACCACCCACTCCAGCCAAAATATCTGCTTCTATATTACTAACGACCTATTGGTTCAAGTGAAAGGAACTCGGTTTCTTTAAGTAAGATCTCGAGTTCGAGTTTTATAAATATAGAATCATACGTTGAGAGAGTTTCTTTTATGGTGTTTGATGTGGTTCGATTTCAAATTAATCAGAATTTAATGTGGTTATCAGATACTGAAAGGTTAATACCAAAAAATCAACTTCTATATTTGCAACCGACTCCAAGTCAATCTTAATAGTCGAAATAGCACCCCATGACTCCAATCCCCATGACTCCATGTTGAGTTCCCTCGTAAGGTCAACAACCTACCTCCAAAAAGAGAGTGGGCACCAAGCATTGTGCCTCTGATGCTCTTGCTGGAGGTGGTGGTGTAGCACTTGCTGAAGGTGGACTGGTGGGGCTGTGGCTTCCAAGTTCTGTAGCATTATATGGAGCTAAGGGCTGAAGAGAGGAAGCTCAGTGATTGCCTCTTACGGATTTTTGAGTTGTGTACAATGTTTTAAGAATGGACTTCGTACTTAACCCATTTTGAGCATTGGGTTTGGTTCAACTGATTAAACCAATTCAACCAATTAATTCAACTGGTTATACAGAAAAACGACATTTTTAAATTTTTAAAAAGTAAGAAGTAAAAGTTGATTTTAAAACATATATAATTATGTAAATATTAAATCACTAAATTCAATAGTCTTTATTGCTAGTATTTCAATTTTTTTAATTTTTAATTAAATTTAATAATTAGTAATTTTATAAAAGTTAGATAAAAATTTTAATTTAAATCTTTGAACATCAAATTATTTCTATAAAAAAATAAAAATAAAAAGAAAGAACAATATCATTAAATTAAATTTCATTTCATGTTTAAGTACTTAAAATTTTGAATCTTATCAAATCATTATTGTTTATGATTTTATTAAATAAACAATTTAAAATCTTAAAAATAAAAACATAATTTAATTTAGTAATATGATTTATAATTTGA